GAAATTCAGGCTCCCTGTGGCATATGGCATAATAGAGCAACACATAACCCACGCCTCACCTGCAAAGATTCTTGTGAAATCAGTCACATCCTGCTCTGGGGACACCAAGACCCTCACCAGACGAGTGGCAAAGCCAGAGAACGAGCCCAGGCCAGAGCTCTGACCGGCAGGAAACTCTGCCTTCCCCTATTCAGCTAGAGGCAAGGACTGATTTGTGCAAGGAGTTTTGGTGTGTGTTGCCAGCCCCAGGTTTCACAATGAAACAACCCACCAAAACTGACCCTCAAGTTTACAGCTAAAAACATCCAAAAGGGATGTTTTAGGGACAGCTAAAAATACCCAAAAAATCCCCCTCCCCCCTAAATGTTGGGTTCTGGGGAAGGCTCATTCCTTCATGTAAAACTACATGCCAAAGCCATGATAAAGGAACCCACATTCCTGCAGATCCAAGCCTGGCCAGTGTTGCTAAGATGCACTAGCTCTTACATCCAGTAGCAATTAAGGAAGCAACACAGCAACTATCATCCTGTCTACCCTTACTGGTCATACCTATATGACCAGGTATGTGTATAACCCTAGGGAGGAGGAGAAATAAGTATCCAGTGTGGGCTCTGCAGTGAGATACTCCCCATGCTGGAGTGCCCTTGTCTCAGCCAGGCACAAATATTGCACCTCAGCCCCATCTGCCATCATCTGGCTGTCAGTGGCTCTGTGAGGCTGCTCTCCAGTCATTGCAAGGCATCTTCTCAAGGGCAGATTTTTCCGAAAACTATGCCTTTGTCACTGGGTTTTCCAGAGGGCTCAGTCTCCAAGGAGAGCTGGGGCTTTGCACAGTTCATGCACTGAGGGGTTAAACTGTGGGAGCTCTGGCCGGTGGTCTGGAAAAGGAAAGGAGAACATTCTTGGGAAATTCCAGCCTGGTGGGTCCTGCTGCAATAGCCTTGCAAACTCTGGGTTGGGAAATGAATGAGAGAGGAAGGAAGGAGTCTCTCCATCAGGGAATAACAGTTGGCAGCACTGCCTGGAGCTGCTGGAGCAAGAGAGCTGGTTGCAATGACACACAGCTGCTCTCAGTCAGCGGTGGCAGCTGCTGCCCCGGAGATCCACCCCCAGGGCCTCCCAGGAGCCCTAATAAGCTCAGC